AGAAATCATGTTTTAAACAACATAAGAGGTTAAATGTGTCCTGTGATTTCCTGTTCATCGGAGTTCAACGTTTCACTGTGCCAATAAAAGCTTTCCACAAACACTCAGACAGGATTAGAAGCGCTGTTCGTGGTAATGACGCTAATTAAATATTAGCTGTCCTTTTGATATTTACCTCGTCAATGTCATACCACAGAGTTTACACACACATATTCCTAAATGTAAATATATGACTGTACGCACAGAACCTGCTGGAGGCTTCTCCTGAATAAGCCGATGTTAAATTTAAGCTGCGTGAAGACTGAGCGAGACCAAGGTGGAAAGTCAGTGTTTCAGTTTGGAGGATTTACAGTACAGCTAGCTCTCCTGGAGGACCTGAATGTTACACACAGCTATATTTAATGTAATCTCACAGATGTGAAACCCTCTTTGGCTACAGCAACAGAAACTTTGTCTGCTAAGTAGACAAGTGAACAGTACTAGGCTGGACACGCTGGCTGTAGACCCTAAAGTGGTGACCCCAAACAACCAACCACCATTGTTAAACCATTTGCTTCTGAAAGATTACACAAATGTATCAGCAGACAGTGAATGGCTAGATCAACTGAAAAGAAGCAAGTCCACTAACATGCTCCACAATGACCCCGTCAAAGTGGCCTGCGACTGCCCTCCCATTTGTCTTCCAATCCGCTGAACTTTCTGTGTTCGTTTGGTAAGCCTGAGAGCTCTTCACCTGATTAAACTATCACAGAGACACCTTCTGTTTCCACCGTCAAGCAGGGATTAAGGCCCTGCCTCCGTAATTCAGACGGCTCACTAACCACAGTGTGCTCACCCCAACTGCCAAATGAATAGACGTTCTCCAGAGAATAAAGAGCTCTGCGTCGGAAAGACAAAGGAAGGTGACTGAAAGGTAATGAAGAGGAGGCTGAGAGGAGGGGAAGAGTGACATTAGACAGGAGCTCTGTATGAATACCTTTCTTTTATGTGTTCTACTTTGTGTCTGCAGTATGAGGGTCTTCATTATTAAGATCCACTCTTATTATGACTCTGAGATTCTATGGCATCCGCATTTGCCACAGTCATTTTGTCAGCACTCCTCAGACAGATAATTAGAACAAGCTGTCTCTGACCTGGGTATGACGCAGCAGTTTTCAGTCATTAATGAAGCGTTATCATTTCGATCACTCTGTGTAATGATATTTCCTTTTTTTGTGTTTGGTTTCTGACACTTCCTATTCAAGAAACCCCCAAATTAGTGGATGTTACAGGCCTATCTGGAAGCGCTCTTTTACAGCTTCAAACTGTGAACATATTAAGTACACAGTGTTTCAAATCAGCTTTCAAGATTAGTGAAGTATGTCCCCGTTAGGAGGAAGATGTGTTCACAAATATTTGTGTTAAAAAAAACTTTGTACATCTAGGGAGGTATAAAAAGAAATAAAAAACTGCCTGGAGAGATGCTGCTGACAGATTTAGGTTGTGATGATTCCCAAGATAAGAGGAAAGGGACGCTTCAGGTTCCCTAACTGCTTCATGGTATTTTAACAGTTCTTTCATAATTTGATGTTGGACTTGACACGTATTGGCCTTCTATTTTTTGTTGTGCTCTTCAGAATTCTCCTAAGAGACTAGGAAAGGAGAGGATCATGAGGGCCAGTAGGAACCATTACAACATTTAGGTAGATGGATGGATGTACATGAAGGGGTAGACATGGCAGAATGATAAAATGTTTGAACATGGGAAAAGTAGGATCATAGAACACAAAGAACACTAGATACATGAGAGAAATAAAGATATGTAGAACACTGGATGGATGGATGGATGGATGGATGGATGGATGGATGGGTGAATGGATGGATGGATGGATAGATGGGTGAATGACAATGAATAGAATGCTATGACAAAATTAGATATGGATGGATGAATGGATGGATGAAAGGATGGATGAAAGGATGGATTGATGATAGAAGGATGGATAGCTAGATGGATTGATGGACTGATGGATGGATGGATGGAAGGATGGAAGGATGGATGGATGGATGGATGGATGGATGGATGGATGGATGGAAGGATGGATGGATGGATGGATGGATAGAAGGATGGATGATAGAAGGATGGATGGATGGATTGATGGATAGAAGGATGGATGGATAGATGGATGAATGGCTGGATTGATGGATAGAAGGACAGATGGATGGATTGATGGATGGATGGATGGATGGATGGATGGATGGATTGATGGATAGAAGGATGGATTGATGGATGTTGGACGGGTAGTGCTACAAAACAAAAGGTAGAACTTTAGAACAACTTCAGAGAATGAACACTCTTACTCAGTAGTAGTAGATGGTGCATGTCAACAGTATGGGAAGGGACTAAAGAACGAGGAGTTTGTGAAGCGGATGAAGACGACATTAACCTAAAGGGAAGTAGCTGGAAGAGGTGATAACCAGGATGTGAAATGTCCAAGATGATTATTTGTTTTCTTTACAGTTTAGAAAGTATCTAGAGATTCCTTGGTTTCCTATGATTCTGGGTAACTAATGGCTGTACTTTTTTTTTAGTGTTTGTCCGTTCTGCAAGACCAAACTACAATCCAACAATTCTACAATTCATTTAGCAGACGCTTTTATCCAAGGCGACGTACATCAGAGAGTAAGAACAACACAAGCAAAGATCTAGAGAGGAGGAAACAACATCAGTAAGCAGTGCAAACAAACAGCTTTGGAGGTGCTGACAGGAAGTGCACACTCACAGAGGCACAGCACAACATCGACAGCTGTTCTTGAGAGGTCTAATCAGCATCAAAACCATCCTAAATAACATCTTTGTCATTATCAAACAAAACAATCATCATCATCATTATCATTAACTGTGAAGATGTTCATGGAAGAGCTGGGTCTTTAGCTTTTTCTTATCAGTGCAAAGGGAGTCTGCAGATCGAATGGAGTTTGGTATACTGTAATAAAAGATGTGAGGATGGACTCGGTGGTGTCTGAGTAGAACAGAAATAGAACTTAATGCCTGATCTGGCCTATTTTATAAGCTGTTTAAAAAAGTAATGTTGCTATTAAGCTTTCGCACTGATGTGCTCAGAGTTAGTTTTCCACTTTAGGTTAGTGCTAATGTGTGTAGTGGGGAATCTAAAAGACTCATTGGTCATGATGGGAGCTCCGCTTTCTGAACGGGTATTTGGGAATTTGGCATGCATCAGATATCAGTAATGAGTTCCTCAGCTCTGGCTGTTTCTTGTGCTTTAATTGGAGAGTGAGTCCACCTCTTATGATTAGTCAGAACATTAGAGTGCTATGAGGTGACATTACAATATCCAACGAAATATGATTATATATTCTGTTGAAAACAATTCTGACTTGACCTTCTTGCTGTTAACTTAAATATGTGTAGGGCGAATTTGAAGAAAATGAAACGATTTAAAATGACACACAGGGGATATTATTTGATGGTACAGGTGTTATGAGATGTTTCCTAAGCCCCACAGTATTTAGAGGCTTTGGTCACACTCAAAGAGAAACAGCACAATGGAGAACAAAGGTTAAGAGTGAAGTAATATAATGTGCAGTGGTGAGAAAGAGCGGAGGCTATGATATAATATCAAGTGTGACCTTTAGAACGAGCTGAAGCATTAACAGATAAAACAAAAAAAACGAAGGTTGAGAATGAGCATCTGCTCGAGATTGGACTGAAGTACAGATAAGATCACCAGGATGTAGAGGAAGCGGCCCGTAAATCTAATCGTTGTTGAGTTAAGCGGGATGTGTAAAAAAGAAAAGATGAGAAAGGGAAAAAATCCGAAGATGATACATTTTAAAACTTTTACATAATACCCTCAAACAAAAGCTTTGAAAACAGTTCTTTAATTTTACCTTTACAGAATCTTGTTAAGATAAGAATTCTACTGTAATCTTGTCTCCCCCTCCCCATTGGCTCGAGGTGAATTCTCCTGATAATATCCTGCTGTGTTCTCACATCAGCTCGCTCGAAATTACTGCGGAAAAAAATACTTGGGGGGGCTTGGCAGGAGAAACTCTGGGTGAAGTCCGAGTGAAAAATCCGGCTGTTTGCATTCACACATACAGCTCCTCCTGGGAATATTTATTCAGGAGTGTGAACGCCCTTAAACAGATATTTTATGTAAGAGGTTTTGCCTTTTTCATCTCTACGCACGGAGGACCATCGTCTAGTGAACCATCTATATTTAAGATATTCATCAGATTCCTGTCGTAACCCAAGTGATATAAGCATTTCGTCAACGGGGCCCACAGCATCACAACTTTTAAATCAAAAATTCAACAGCAAGCTCCCCTTACAGAAACACTGTCCCAGTTATTCTGGATAATCCACAGACTTCACTGTGAGCAGCTTTCATTGGCAGAACCTTTAACCAACAAAAAAAACAAACAGTCAGTGTTCTGTGGATTATCCAGGGTAACTGGGACACCATGTCTGAGAAATAAAAAGTTTCTCCTTTCTGGATGAGCCATCACTGATTTTTTTTTAACTGTATGTTCGCCTGCCAGCTGAATGAATCGTTGTTATGTAAGGACATCCAGTCATTCACCTGGGATGTGAAGCAACAAGGTCATAAAACTTCTTCAGGAATACTAAAAAGAATCCTGGAAATATCGGAAATAAGAAAATGTAAGCACACTGAAAAGATCAAACGAGTTGAGCAAGACAACAGAGATGAGTATCTGAGTTCCTTCTGCAGAGTGTGGAGAAAATCATTGCTATAGGATCAAACTTTGAAGCTTGATCCAAAGGCAACTTGACCTGGTTGAAGCTCTCGAAGATGTTTCTCCTTGAAAGGCTTCTTCAGTTTTAAACTCAGTTCTCAAGTTATCAGCTAACAACTCTCATGTGAGTCATCCTTGATCATTGGCATGCTAATGATCCACAGAGGCTTAACTTCTAGCTCCGTCCATTAGATAATTTAGAACTGAAGAAGCCTTTCGGAGGAGAAGATCTTAAACCAAGTCCTCTTGTCTTTGGATAAAGCTTCAACATTACCATGACCTGGACGACTGAGATCCTACAGAGACATACTGTTGTTCAAATCCTTCTGCTGTTTTCATCATTTAGAGACATTTTAATGCTGAGATAAACTCTTCATTTAGAGTCATTTAGAGGCTGCTGACCTCACCGTGTGAAAAGCCCATCAGTTCACACCTGAAAACAGTCGATTTCATTCTTTGAGGTTTCTTTAAATAAAAGCTCTTTAAAAGCTCTGTGGACGTTAACAGAGACTTTGAGCTGCGGGGCTTTAACACTGGATTGAACTGAGAAGTTGCACAGCCCTCCAAGGATAATGCTCTGTCACGGTCAATAGTATGACTCAAACGACCTCTCCGTGTGTTTCTGTGTGAGTGTGTGTGAGTGTGTGTGTTGGAAACTAAAATAGCAAAATTGAAAGGCTTCCATTTCCCATCTGTTCTTAATTTCACGCTCTTTCTTTGTTAAAACACAAGACGGTGACAGTCAGTGTTACTCTCTCTTCCCCTCTCAAACACACTAGCACACACACACACACACACACACACACACACACACGCCAACCAAGACACGTACACCTACCTGAGTGTTTCAGTCCATTTAAGCTCCAGCTCCAGAGCCATCTTGTCCATCTTCAGTTTTTCTTCTTCTTTGGTGGTGATGAGTTTGGCTTCATGCTGTCTCTTCTGGGTCTCTAACTCTCCCTGTGAAATACAAACAAAGACATTCAGAGAGCGTGACAGACAAACAAAACACTAACAAACATTGGTTTTAATGGAACTTTTGGAATTATTATCTAAAAGTTGAGTTTCTTCATGTCCTTAAAACAATTCTATTTTTCTGAAATCGTTTTGTTTTTTTGAAGTTAGCTTATTGATGATGACGCATATCTCAACTATTATCAGCAACTGAGAATGCAGGAGAGCGTCTGCAGCAAGCAGCTGCAGAAAAATATTCAAACGAAGGTAAAGGAGCTTCAGTTTCAACATGAGATGTTGACCTGCATGGGAGGGACACACCAGCAGATCCTCTCTCTCTCTAGCTCTCTCTCTGTTGCATGTGATGCCGATTGTATACAGATGAAAAAAAAAAAAAAAAAAAGGTTGCCATAGAAACTTGGGGTGCCTGCCAGTGTGACGTCTATATGTAGACTGATGAAAAAAGAATGGCATAAACACCTAGTTAAGCATAATTAAATGTTGAAAAGGAAGTTGTTTGCTAAAATTAGCTGTTGTTTGATGGCAGCAAATGGTTATCAAATATGTTTGGGTTTGTAAAGGAGGTAATCACGGTGCTATCAGCAGCATCAAAGCATTCTGTTTGAATTCAGCCTTCAGAGTGTGCGTTGAGTAGAAAGTTCCTAAATCTGGCACAGGATGTTTAAAAAAAAATATTGCTTTGGACACAATCGTGTGGGAGAATGTGGACAAACACAGCCTGGACCGGCTGCAGATGTGCTCTGAGTTATTGGATGTGACTGCATCCTTAATGCACCTTGAGTGCGATCACACCTTTACTCAGAGCTGTCTCCCTGTCACCGGGGATGCATCTTAATGTCAGGTTTAAACGGGGCCAATGAATTTCCTCACAAGCACAGGATTGTTGGTTTGTTTGTGTGTTTGTGCAGACCTGCAGCGCCGTCAGCAGGTTGCTGGTCTCTCTCAGTCGAGCCCTGGTAGCATCCAGCTCCTCCAGAAGTTTGTCCTGCGCCTCCTTCAGTGTGGAGATCTGCCCCTCGGCTGTCCCGATGTCCTGCTCCCCCTGCTGCACCTCCTGCTGCAGCCGAGTCACCTGCAGGGAGCACAGAAATATATGCTGTGAGTAAGCCAGACATATTTTCCTCTGTTGAACTTCAGGCTGGCGCTCAGGGTGGCAGCAGCCTTTAAAAACTACATCAGCATATTATGCTCAGCGAGGTGGAACTTTCCATCAAAAATGCATTCAATAACCCTTTTTATGTCAGATTTCGAAATGAGCAAACCCGTACACTTTCTGCCAACGCGGCAACTTAGTTTTGATACGCATCAGATATTAATTTACCTCGATGTTTAAAGTAAAGTTCAACTTCGGAAATGTGTGCAATGCAGTGTGCAAACAACAGTAACAAACACAGTGTGACGGCTTAACACACAGGAATAAAAAAAATCAACAGGACTAATCACATTTGACTGAGCAGGATTGAACTGTTGAAACCGAGTTTTGTGGTTCAGATAGAAGTGATTGTACCCGACCTAAAAAGCCTCTGCATGTTTCTAATAAGCTCCACGAGCAGAAACGTGCTCAAACTAGGATCAATATTGGAGATGCTTTTTGAAAAATGGAGAGAGGTTAGAACACAGAAAGGTTTACAGACCCATGCAGAGCTGGATAAACACTGAAGCTTCAACCTACGTGTACATCGACTCTAGAGAGTAAGGGGCGGGGAGGAGACAGCTCTAGAGCTCTACCTTAGAATTTGGACTGCAGTACCCATTTTAAACACTAGGGGTCAGAGTTACATATTGCTCCTTTAAATGCTTCTGAAAAGTGAAAATTTGAACATTTGTCAATTCAAAAACAACTAATGAAACTCCATCTGATAGAAAGCTCCAGTTACTACACTGACATTGGGGGTTTTCTTTCAGGAAGAAAAAAAAAGAATTTGAACCTCATATTGGTTTTTCTTTTGTTTGTGGTTCTGTTGATAACGTTATCAGAAACAGTTTAAATGATGTTACCACCGTTTGTCACACTCCAGCGACACCAAATCTTTAACTTCTCCTCCATCACTGCAGAATAAGTCAGGCAGGAAGAAGTTCCAGATGTTTTACCTCCTCGTTGGCAGCGCCGAGTTTGGCCGTCAGCTCCTCCCCCATCTCGTCCAGCTGCTGCCTGAGAAGCGTCTTCTGCTCCTCCAGTGATTGGCGCTCCTTTTCAAACTGCTGCTCCAGCTCCTGTGGAAAAGCAATCAGAAACACAAATCAGTCAGAAAAAGAAAGAGAACAACAATGACAGCCGTTAAGGACCCGTGACGATATACTCACTGAGCAAAGTGGAGCAGTTCATGACCTTGACCAGTAAATGTACGATCATTATAATGATTTTATTGTGTTTTATACATCAGTAAAGATCATCAGTCATCCAGGTTATAAAATATCTGAATGTGATGAGTAAGCATAGATATTATTATTTAGGATTCTGCTTAAAACCTTTGTCTCAGGATCAAGGCCAAGCTGCAAAACTATTTGACTAACTTCATCGAAAGAGCAACTCTAATGAAGATATTTATTTCAACACAGAAACTGCAAACCGACAGCAGTCTCCCTCTAGTCTCACTTTCTTCATATATATTCCAGGACTTCGTTGTGATGCAAATCCAGAACTCGCCTCTTTGTTTAAATTGACACTCTCTGCATTCATCTGAACAAATTCCTGAAAAAAACACTTCAAACACATTCATTGTCCTTGACACCGAGGAGAGAAGGAGCTCTAGCACTGCTACAACAACAACAGAGCTTATTATGCCCGCTGATGAATAGGGGAGCGATTTCTGTTATAGCGTTCGATGATTGCTGCTTTCCAGGGACAATTAGAGCGGAGGGGAAATTGCTGTAATGTCAGATAAAATTTGCCGGCATTATTCATTACACGGAAGGCTGGAGTTTGTGATGCCATAAAAAAAACAAAGTCAGAGCATTGATTTCTTTGCACTAAGTTCCATAAAAGTGAAAGAAAACTTCACGGTGATGCATCTGAATGGAATCTTGTATTTCAGCCGCCGCTTCGGGGGTGGGTCACAAGGTGGATAACGTTTATCAGTCTGCAGGATAAGAACTGTTAAATCTGCTCCTGACCAGAACAAGTGAAAACTGACGGACACAAAAAAAAGCATCTGTGTGTTTAGTGCAACATAAAAATAAACGATCACAGCTCGGCATGTTTTAAGGTTGTGAAATCGATGGGAGATCGCTCAAACGCCTTTTTCAAACACTCCCGTCTTTTCACTCCTGTTGCTGTCGTCAATTTGCTCCCTGAGGTTGCATGCAATACTTTCAACAACTCAATTCAACCCCCCCTTTAAAAAAAAACAGAGAACGGACAAGAGCCTGCCATCCTCCAGGCCACGATGAAAAACCCAAAGCTACATCAAGATTTCTGCAATCTGCCGTGTGGCCCTGAGCTCTCTCTCTCCCTGAAGATCCTCACAGAGGCTTTTCTCTTTTTCTTGCCTGTGAATTTATTGTTGAGATGAGTTTCAGGTCAAAAAGGCTGAACTAGGAGCGCTGGTGGCGCAGTGGTTAATGCGTGCGCCCCATGTATGGAGGCTGTCGTCTCAAGCGGGCGGCCCGGGTTCACATCCCACCTGTGGCTTCTTTCCTGCATGTCATACCCCACTCTCTCTCTCTCCCTGGTTTCTGACTCTATCCACTGTCCTATCTCTCCATTAAAGGCACAAAAAGCCCAAAAATAAATCTTAAAAAAAAGGGCTGAACTAGTTTTCGGACCACTTATTACTGAGAAGATCAAGGAGTGTGGATGAAGTTGAACACGGGCTGAACATTTTGTAGCACGAGCTGGAGGTTAGTAAAAAAAAGTGATTTGCTGCGGTTGTTGTGCTTCCATCTCCAGTCAGCTTGCTTTCACTCTAACAGGATGGACTGGCAAGATTATCTTCAGAACCGTTCAAATATGGAGACTTTGATTCGACTTGTTGGAAAGGGGGGATTGGGCCTGATTATCTGGTGGTGTGTACCACGCTTTGAGTCAATCAGTGTGATGGAACGATTTCGGAGGAAGTAAAAAGGAATCGTCTTCTGCAACCTCCAACAGAAAGAAAATACAGATAAAGATGAATCTAATTTGACCCATCAGGATTCCTGTCACACCCATTTCATTTATATTCCGAATCCGGGCCATCTCACAGCCAACTCTCATTATAATTTAAAGTGATAAAAGAACAGAGGTGATGAAAGGAAAGATGATTAACTGGACGTGATGAAACTTGGATCAGACCAAAAGGAATCAAGTGACAAGTAAAGTAAAAAAAGGAGGGATGAGGAGGCATTTCTTCTCCTCCGTGTGACCTGCCAATCTTGCAGAAGAAGAGAGGAGTGATGAGTTCTGCCCGCTCGCCGTCACAACTCTTTTCAATCTGGACATTTTCTGCGGCAGCACCGGCAGCGTAATCACGAACGCACACAAAGGGGGAGAGTTATTGTGCATATGAGAACACAGTGGGAGGAATTTTTTGAGGCCGTGAAAATCACAGAGGGCCAGAGAGGCTGCATATGGAGGCGCGGCTAATACCCGTGGAAATGCATATCTTAATGTAGCCGTCAGCTGTGATGGGCTCTACTGTGGGATATCATTTAAAACACGTCCTCATTATGCAACTTTGATGCAAGGGAATACTTGATCACTTGCCTTCACATGTGTGACGGGAATAAAAGCCTCTGTGGAGGATCGGGCTTCATCAGCAGGCTATTTTCGGGGCTGCTGGTGGATCTTCAGTCAAATTAGTGGTATAGGCTGCTGTTTGGAGCAGCGAGACCTCGGGCTCATTAAACAAGTCCCAGTGCCTCGGTGGTAATCCTAGGGGGCATTTCACTGTCTCACATCTGATGCTCAACCCGTCATCATGCCAGCATTCGGGTGTGTGTGGTACTTTTTTTTTTTAACACAACAGGGAACGAGAACAAGCGGTGTGAGGAGCTACAGTGAGGATGTTTTTTTATTTAACTTTATTCTTCCAGTTTCATTAATATCCTTTATAAAACCAGCAATCATCTTCTGTTAATGTATTAAAAAAGGTGGTTGCTCTGAAGCTTTTTGCATAATCATATTCATGTTCAGAGGCAAAGTTGATAGCATTGCTTTAATTTGCCTTCAGGTGATATTTTATTCATTTCTGTTTTCTACTTATACATAACAGTGTTTTAAACTTTCTATGATCAGTATTTAATGTCTCTTAAGTTATTACTTTCTATTGTAAGTCTCTTATACTTATACATCTCTATCATATATCAAACTGTATTGTGGGCTCATGTTTTTTTGTATGGGTGGGATATGTATGTATGTATGTGTTGTGTTGTGTGTTTGTATGCATGCTGGCTGCTGGAACACATACATTTCCCTGCTGGGATGAATAAATTATATAAACTTATCTTATCTTATCTGAAGCCGGGTGTAGGCTCTACAACTGCAGGTCAATTTTCACCAGGCTTTTAGGGTGCACTCACACTACGTCCCGTACTGTGCTGAAGCACAATTACCCCCCCTCCCTATTCCCCCGCTGACCTGCACTCACACTGCTCCAGGACTAACCGGGCCTGAGCACGGTTACCTCTTGTACATAACGTCGTAACACAACACATAAATGGATTTTACCTGATCATTAAGAGAGCATAATTTACAAGACAGGCGGACTCAAAAATAAAAGAAACAAAAAGAGTCTGCACAACACAAAAAACATGACGGCTACTTTACCGACTTTGTGGCTCATTTTCCTCAGATACAGTCGTGACACTCGGATATTTCTCGATAATGGATCGATTATACTTCATATTTGCTTTGAGTACCCATGCTTGTGCTTATACATGAGAAATGGTACCGTGCCGAAACACAACTCTTCCAACCATGCCAGCACCAACAAAGTGTACCATGCTTGAGCACAGATCGGAGCACTCACATTAGTCAAACTGGACTTTGAGGGTAAATCGTGGTTAGGCCCGGTACCGATTGCCTAGTGTGAGTGCGCCCTTAGTCAAACAACTGATTTCAGATTTAGGCGGAATTACAGCCTAATCCTGCGTCATGTGACATGCACGGTGTAAGGAAGCACGAGTGCTGACTGCTGTCCGGTGACTTTCTGGCATGTTAGAAATGTTTAAATGTACAACTGCATACTATTCCACGATGAGAGTAAATCAATGTGCAGATTCCCCGGCTTCATGGCTGCTTTTTCTGATTACAACCTGCGCAAACTGAGAGACAGCATCTGAAATCACCATGGCAACAGCAGGCGTCCCTGTTGAATGCGTCCTCCTCTCATCATGAAATAAAAAGATAAGAACAAGAGAAACATTGTCAGGTGATTGACCTGCGGCCTCGTGCATACGACCAAATCACAGCAGTGCACCTCCCCGACCCTGTGCCACAAACTGACCATTCAATGTATCTAAACCAACGTAATGCAGAGTTTAAAAGATGATTAGTTGATGATTCTGCTATTGCACTCTAGGATTCCCCTCTTTCTGAAACTTGGATTTTTTAGTCCGTGCAGTTCTTGATAAAAAGAAATAACACGGTTTGAAATGTTGAAGATCACAGGTGTACTGATGAAATGAATCAGCTGTTTCCTTTGAAGCTCCTTCAAGAGGAATGTGCTCATGATGAAGCTCTCCTGCTGAAGTCACTCCAGCTGAGCAGAGAGGATAAACCTCTGCGGTTCTCAAACTGAAACTCTCGTGTTCTTCCCCAGAGTAAAAAAAAAACACACTGCGTGGAATATGCAGGAGACGAGTAGTGTGAAAGCGCTAAGTCTTAAGTAGTGAGTGTATACTGTATGTATGAGCTGAAGCCCTGTTAGGACGGCCACACTCTAAGTAAGGAGCTGTGAAATATTTATGTTGGCAGTTTTAGGAACACCCACCTCCATACACACTCAAACACACACCCAAACACACACCAACACACACTCAAACACACACTCAAACACACACCAACACATACTCAAACACACACCAACACACACTCAAACACACACCAACACACACTCAAACACACACCAACACACACTCAAACACACACCAACACACACTCAAACACACACCAACACACACTCAAACACACACTCAAACACACACTCAAACACACACTCAATCACACACCAACACACACTCAAACACACACCAACACACACCAACACACACTCAAACACACACCAACACACACT